AAAAAAAAAAAAAAAAAAAAAAAAAAAAACAAAAAAAAAAAAAAAAAAAAAAAAAAAAAAAACAACCGAAAAAGCTTCATTTCCAGCAAGTTCGTGCAAGAAAAAAAAATGCAGAAGCGAGAGAATAGAGGAAGAAAAGCGAGAATACCGCGTGGATTCTCTTATTGTCCGTCACGCATTTGATGAAGCAGTTCATTTCTATGTGGGAAAATTTCGCTGAGAAAATGCAAAAGGAGCTATTCATCGGAAGAGCAAAACACATCTTTTAAATTTGCATTGACAGCAAAAAAACTTTAAAATTATAAAATAAAGACCAATTCTGAAACTGACATTATAAGCAATCGATTTTTTTAATCAATGTCCAAGGATCAAAATCGAATCTGTCAAAAAATCCGTTCAGAGCATTTAAAGACTACATAATGAAAATATAGCCCACTTTAAAATGTGATGTTGTTCAGTAATTCACTAAACTGAAGAGAAAGTACTCGGAGAAAAAAAAGCAAATAATACTTAAAATTTGCCTCAGAACAGTAAAAAAAATAATTTAAAACCCAGCATAAAACACAAAAAATCCGGTTACCGTCGAAAATGTAAAAAAAAACTATAATTCAAAAACCAAAACATCATGATTTAATACTGGAAATGAAACACGTCCCTGTCAATTTTGACGATCAAGAAATGCAAAACTGAAGCAGAATCTTTCATGGTTAAAAAAATGTATTCCAAAAAACTGTGAAAAAATTAGTAAGACGAATGAAAATGTGATTATTTGATTCTGAAAAGTTTTTTGCCGCCTATAATAAAAGAGAGAATTTCATCGAAAGAGCGAAGTTTTGTAGTATGGGGGTTTAAATATTTCAGCATCAATTGGCTATTTTAATGATCAACTTCGAACCCAAACTTTCCCAGAATGATCTACAGCAGTAGGGCAACTCAGCGCCGTCCATTTAGCATTTGGCAACTTTGTATCGCGACAATTCCTTGACGTTGAGATTTAAAAAAAAACAATTGAAAACAAAAAGCACAGTTAATTGTTTATTTGATGGAAGTACAGTACAGTATGCACATCAATTTCCTGTTCTGTATAGTGCCGAACGAGCAGCCCAATTGCTCAATCCTTAATAATCCCAGACTCAAGGTGGACGGCACTAATAAGTTATCGTATTTGGCGCTGGGTTGACCACCACACTGCAGGCAATTACAGTAGCTGACAAATTTGTAAACATTAACGTTTAAAGGTACCTTTAGAATCGTTTTCGTCGATGTTATGATCGTATTTCCAAGCAGCAGTGAATTCGAGATCCGAGTTCGCGATGAACGCAAGGCTGAAGTTGCTCACGGAGGACAAACGAGCAGGTCTTTGGTGCCTCGGGAATAGTTTGAAATTTTGCAAAAGTCTCGATGCTTTCCTCGTTGTCTGCATTCAAGACGAAGTATTTCAAAAATCGTTTTTAAAACCGGCGCAAGAAATCACTCAAATTTAGCTTGCAAGATAGATTTTTTTCTCAGAAACTGCTTTTCCTTATAGAGTTTTAAATTCAAGACACGCGGATGAAGAAAACCTGCGTTTTTGATGGGTATAGACGCAGGAAAAGTTCAGAAGCTATTTTCCCAAAACATCGCACGCAGTTTTGCCTATGAAATCCTTTCATAATTCCCCGAGGGGATATTGACGGTCTGAGTATAACAGTTTGATCAAAGAAATGGATGAAGTTTATCAAGATTTACTCAGCTGGAGATCAAGGCAACCGGGGCAATCAACTTCCAAGGATGATGATCTTCCTCCCTCTCATCGTCTTTCTGCACTTCAAAAATGATTTTATGCCTCATTCCTAAAATCTCTCAAAAACCATGTTCTCCTTATACATCTCTGTATACAGTATAAAGTATAGCAGGTCCCTGTTTCACGTGGGGAATGAATTTGTGGAGATGAGATTGAACGAAACTGTCTAGCCTAAAACTGAAGTAAGATGTATGCGAAACAAAGGAGGGCTTCGTGTGACATGCGTGGGATACATTCAGCAGGAAATGGGATTCGACAAGATGGGTGCGTCAAAGATTATGTTCAAAATATGAAGCCTCTGGAATAATATTCAGAGACGTGCGTGGCTTATTTTCTCGGGGCGAGTTCATTACTCAAACTGCGCATTTCAGGTGCCTAGATTCCATCAAATAGGATGCATAAGATCTAGGATTCCATATCAAAAGTTCGTAGTTCTTCGCATTTTAAAACTATGGAATATATTTGTCTTTCACACACACACACAGAAAAACCATTAAGAATTCGGTTCAATTCGATATACTGTTTACCTATTCTGCATACAGCTAGTGGATCCCAGGTTTATGTCCCAAAAAAAAACCAACAGTTTAATTCTTTTGACCCAGTTCATGTGCATTTGCGCTCATGTACATGACAATTGTTTTTATGGACTTTTATTCAACTTGACTTGTGGCATGTATGTCTGTCTAAGGGGTATCCAGATTTGAGCCATCACAGCGCAATCTAAATGCATGAGAAAGACATGTGATTTGAAAACTCGACATTGTTTCTGTTGAAATGCCAATGTTGAATTTATTTTGAATTTTTATCACTAAAAAGAGTTGAATGAATTAATGTTTAAGAAAATAAAAATTGGCTTTTTTGCTCTAAGAATGGGGAAAATAAACTTTTTTCAAAAATGCCCTAATATAGTTGTTGGTTACATAAGCAATTTATGGTTATCGTAGGACTGCGGCAAGAGTTGCATGACCCAGTCATGCGATGCAAAAAGAACATAGCTCATCGTACGATATGTCCACCATTCACTGTGTTCTATCCACTCTAGCTGAATGAGGGATTTGTATGCTGTCCTGCAAACATGCAGCACATATCATGTGTTCGGGGGGCTGTTCCACAGTATTCGAAAACCATGCAGTTTTGGCGCTTTTTGTATTTAAAATATTTTCATTAAAAAGCTCGAATTTATCATATAGGACGCTTGCGATATAAGTTGTTTCTCATAATCTTTTTTTTGTTATAGTCTTGCATTCATTTATTTTTCACTGTGGCTCAAATAATTGCAATTTTACTGCACGATTTCAGAAAAAATAATTAAATCGTGCATTATGTCAAGGGATAAAAACATTATACTGTACTGTATACTGGTGGTACCTCGCAATTTGACCATACCGAAATGCAACAGTTGAATTAGCAGGGAGGTTGAATCGAAATTTGATCCTTGCCCCGCAATTTGACCTGCTGTGTCCTTTTTTTTGCATTTCTGCATTGATAGTTTTGAATTTCTTAGAAGTGTCTCACAATTTGACCAGTTCCCAATTCGAACCTAGTTTTGCAATGGATTAGGATCGAATTGCGAGGTATACCATCATGTATCCCTCTGGTTCTTTCCTTTCCATTATTTTCATGTCTGATTTTCAGCGAATGGACCTTTCGTGCTGTCCGTGAATTCACTGTGAATTTCTCACAACATTGTACCCCGATGAGTGTTGTTTATTATCAAAAGGACTATACCCATTTAATGCACAATGTTGCATTGCCTGACAAAAAAAAATGCCGCGATATCAGTTCCAACTTCCAAATGTTGTCAAGCCATAACAACTAAAAAATCTCAGAAATCGCATGTTACATTCGATCATTCGACATTCCGCCACATATGCCAGAATAATTCCCAAAAAAAATATATGACATATCTGTGGATATTTCAATAAAGTTTGGTTCTGTCCATCGCCTATCCACGAGAAAAAGAAGTTAATGTTTATTGATTCCGACAGAAGCTTCTGGAGCTCCATCTCATTTCTACCTCTGGGGTATTTTCGCTGCCTCCTTTGATTACTCGCCAGCCTGGATCAACAGGATTATGGGCATTGCATCTGGGTTCAGCGAATAAAAATCTCTCGAACTGCGATGACGCAATACCCAAGCAAATGAAATATTCTGCTTATTGGAAACATGTATACGATTTTCAAGGTTGACGCATATATCTACCTTTTGGTAGATACAGCATCCAGTACGTATACATGCATTCACGTATATTATATATACTTAGTTTGTGCTTGAATCAGCTGAATTGCAAATGAGATCGAGTATTTTGATTAGGTGAAAATATTTTAAAGCTTATCATTAAATAATCACTTTTTTAATTGAATTTTAAAATTATTCCGAGACGAGGGGGGTTTTCTGGGCGAAATCTTCTGGTTCGTATTCGGGCTTTTTTTTTTAATGATGAATCGGTTTTTATCAAAAGGAATGTGGTCTGAATTTTCATTGATCTCACTCCTCATTTTCTAAACGAGAACGAGAACATGTATTTCGGTTTTTTTAATTTTTGCGAATCATCGTTTAGCCTTTTCTCTAATTAAATTTCAGATACATTCAGATGGCGCTTTCTTGAAAAAAGAATGTGGTTCTGGTTTGGGCTTTTTTTGAATGAAAAATCTCTTGTAGGCCACTGAAAGTTAACGACGATGTCTCATTGATCACATTCTCCATTTTTCTGGATTTTTTACTGAAAGTCCATTCGGAATGTATCTCTGAAACTTAATTAGAAAAAATGATGAAACAATGTTTTACGATATGAAATCTTGACAAAATCGAAATACTCGTTGTGGTTTGTATAATTGAGTATAGATTCAAGCACAAGCTACACTTACATATATTCTATACAGTACTGTATTAATATGCGTCAGCTTCGAAATTTCTAAAAACGTTTCTGCTGGACAGAATATTTCATTTCCGTTTCTCACTGTTAAATTCCATGCAGTCGGTTCCATGGAGGGTTATATACTGTATATCCTTGCCAAAGTTTCCATCTCACTTTTATGCAGCAAATGTCTTTTGCTCGAAGTTTTACTTCATTCCGCGATTTTTATTTTTCATTTTTTGCAGAACAACAGCAATGCGAGCATTTCAGCAGTTCCACTTTCATCTCATTCCGGCAGCTACTTTATATCCATGCCATCTACAAAGTGTCTTTCTCGGTACTTCAAGATGTTAGAAGTGTTCTAATCTACATACAGTTTAGTTTCTTTCTTATTGCATTCTCGGGCCTTATTATCATGGTGTATGACCGGATTATTGCCTTTGTTCTCAGATTGGTGTTATGTATTTCCTTCCATGTGCATTCCGTTGCATTTGCAGCGGAAGAAGCATGATTAATTCTCAAGAGGATGTAAAACGGGGTACGAGTAAGTAGACTATACATTCCTTCTACTTATTTCCTGCTGCTCGAGGAAATTGAAGTTCAACGATTATTAATTTGCAGAGCGTTTGCAGAGTGGAGAGTAACTCGGAGAGCGAAGATCAAAGGATTTCATAGCATGCCAGCAACATATGCTTCAGTTTCTGCATTTTCTCGATTATTGCACCGTAATTATTCTGCTCATCAGTACGACTTGAATGAATGCAAAAATTGTTTTAGGCTCCCATGCAAAGGATAGATTTGAAGATTTCGAAACAAATGGCAGAGGAATTTTCCGGGTGTCTCAAATTTAAAAAAAGGGCGTGGTCGAATATTTAGCGCGGCATCTGCATGCGGAAAGTCTTATAGATACTATCCCGAACCCTAATTTGCAATCACGGTTTGGCCGAAAAAATAATAATGAGAATTTTCGGGACGGGATCGGAATAGCTTTTAATTTCCGGACACCCTCTATAGGTACTGTACATGCGAGTCATTACATCTCACCAGCGTGGGCAGGATTTCGACGAAACCCGAGAAAGCGGGGAAAAGCTCGCCGGCGTGAGCAAAGGGCTTTTGATGACATCCCTCTGCAAAGATCCAGAGAGGCTGCTTTTGAAACTGGATATTGCGTGAAAAAACGAACACATGTGTGGGGGGTCGATAGAAGGACAATATAAGGGGGTTCGGGGGTGGGTTCCGATGGCACCGGCAACACCAATGATACATTATAGGAAAGAAACATTGTCTGCGGAACACGGAGAAGAATGGGGGGGGGGGGGAGCAAAGTATGCAAGCGTGGGCAGACACAGAAGACTTGTCTATACTCATTAACTGCTGATGATGCCAATTTTATTTTTCTTGAAGCATCCTCCAGCTTATTTTGCAAAGCGAGATTCTTCGAAGATTTTACTCAAAAAATAGCTTTTTCAAAAATGTCGTATGTCATTCATAATCAAGACGAACGGGTCCTCGTGTGTTATTTGCGTAAATGAAATATTTTTCAGATTTTAATCAAGCGTTGAACGGCGGAATTTCCCGAATCCTTCCAATGAGTCGAACGTTTGCACGCTAATTTTTGATTTTAGCTATTAAAATTCTTGATTTTTGTCAAAATGTAGCTTTTTTCTAAAATTGTTTGCTCATAATCGGACGGGGCCTCGTATATTATTTGCGTAAATATGAAATTTTTTTTTCAAATTTAAATCAAAAATGGGGACGGAGTTTCCCAAATCGTTCCAATGAGTCCAATAGTCTGAGTATGGTATACCACTGATTGCCTTGAAGGCAAAAGTCAATTTGATTTGATGTGATGTTTTCAAGCTAATGAAACCACTCGGAAGATTTCAAACGCCTTAATGCGAGATAATGAATTCTTCTCCGAAGCATTTCCGGTGCTTTTACCGCCTGGCGGAAATCTATCGATACATTTACTCAGAACATAAAAAGTCGCATCTATTGATGGCGAGGCATCTATCAATCCTATGTACACCAGAAGATGTTTTTCTGAAGTTAAAATTCGACTGTAAATCAGCTTAAGGTTCCGAGAAAATGTCATCAAGAAGCCAAGAGCTTTACAACCCCTGTTTTTCAAAGTAACCGAGAATCGCATGGATTGCCCCCAAGGCAATATCCTTAAAAGCCACGCGTTACTTACGACCAATTATCGACCTAAGTGTTTGGATTTTTGTCTTGAATAGTAAAAAAAATTGGGAAAATGTGTTTTTTCAGAGCTTTTTCCGCTCTGGAAGTTCGTCGACCGGATGCTCTTTGTTAGACTGTGCTGAAAAACATGTTCAAATGCCTTCAAGGCATCTTTGTAAAGTGGGTAAACTCTCTTGAAGTATACAGTACATCACCAACCGGAATTTTTTTTATTTTTGTTGTTGTTTTTACTCGATGGGGAAAACAATCTTTAATGCACAGGTTGGCTTCCGATAGTTTCAAAGCCCCGAGGATTTCTTTAATTTCCAGAGAAATAATGAGCAAAGCAGATCATCGATTGCTACCCAGGCATCCTGTTCGGGAGTTAATTGCGCTATTTGTTCCAGCATGAGTCACCAACCGGAAGATCTGAAATTCTAACCCTAAAGGCAATTAATACATTGCATTCGAACAGCAGGTTCTCAGAATTACTCGAGGAGTTCGACAAAAAAAGCTTTCAAAAAGAAACCTTTTTTCTTTAGCATCAGTTAATTTTTCCGTTACAAACATTAATTTTTGATTATTAATTTAAACTAATGCCTGTGATTCTATGTTAATAATCCAAGGTTATATACTCACTATAACTTCACCATTCAAAAATGTATGTCTCACGGTTATTGGCTATGAAATCGTGAATTCGTGATGAACTGCAATATTTAAAAAAATTTCGTGGATTTTTCCAAGGGTCTGTGCTTGCATTATACAATACTTGCATGGACTTATTGATGCCAAAATGTAAATTTTCCCTCTTTTGCACAATATTGAAATTGTGGCATCATTCTTCCCTGTCATCAAACATGCTTCAGCAATTTCACTACCAAAATCAAAAATCTTGGATTTAATCGGATTAAAATTGCTGTAATTCAGCAAAAATTCAATAAATATACTGTACTCCCTATCCTTGGGTGAATTCAGGTAGTGAGACGAAATAGTTTCTGAAAATCGCATCTGAAAGACAAAACAGGAAAGCCCAAGATTTGAAAATTAATCAAGAATAATCACAATAAGAACAATCATCAATGGCTGGAGCACCTATTAGTGTGTAAGAAAATGCTGATGGTTAGCAGAATAAGTTTCAAAATGGTTTCTTTTTTATGTTCTAAATTCAGAATCCTTTCCTAGGAAGAAATGTTGACAGTTCCCCAGAATGGCGAATCATTGATGAGCGTCCCTAATTAATTGGCTTTGATTACATGTCCTTTATTAAGCTTAAACCCATTTTGTCGGTACTGCTCATTTCGGCATCAGAGGCACTCGTTGCCAATTATCAGCAGGAGTCGTTCCATCCAGAAGAAGCTTAATATGCATTGTACCGTAAGAATTAGCAAAAGATTATTAGATTTCAGCTTGCACCCCCCAGACATATTGCTGCTCGCCCCCGGAAATAAAGCACATTACTCGGAATGTGGAGAAGACAGGAAGAAGGAGTGCAATAAGAAATTCCGTATGATAAGACAGTAAGATTGGATGAACAAGTTCCAGCAGGGACTGGCTGGATCCACTCACCCGAAAATGCCTGCGGGGAGAACACGCCGCCCAGGGTGAAATCCCGACGTCGCCTCGGGGCACGGCCCGCAGTGGTTTGGATGCGCAATGCCCGAATCTCCCCAATGCTGCTCGACGACGTTGACGTCGGAAACGTCGGAGTCATCATCACGACGCCCGAGAAAATCCCGTCACGCGAGTGCAAATCCGGATTGAGTCCGTCGTCAAGCAGCACCGCGGTGTCGACGACAACGTCGTCACTGCCCAGGGCTTCCACGCTGTTTTAAAGGGTTAAAAATACGGTATTCACTGGAATTCAATGTTGCATTCCCCTCTACTGTATTTTTTTCTCAAAAAGTATTTAAATTATTTCTCCTCTAAATACCATCCCGAAATGAAGTTGATCATAGTAAAAAAGTGAGACCCCGAGATGCGGACGTAATTGGTGCATCGTCAAGAGTGTCCCCAAGTCGAAATTTCCCAAAGTCGAGTCTCATTTTCCCTTAGACTTACATTATATAATTTTTAATCGGTGTTTCAAGTACAAAATACTATCATTCTATAAAAATAAAAATTGTCTACCGATTTAAACTGATTCTAATCAATATATTTAAACACAATATGGGCATTTAGGGAATTGAATACTGATACCTCTGTAAAGTACATAGAAATATTGGCTATAAAAATAATATTCAAGTGAACAAGAGATAAGGAAGTCCCTCTCTCCTGGAGGTATTTTTTTTATATTAGCTAAATGAATGGCAAATTGGTCAGAGAAATGCCCAAGAACTTTTCTTACCATCAATTTTAGGGTTGGAAATGTCTGTTTCTTGTAATTTGGCCTGAAATGTGTTCGCCATTTTATAACAAAATGTCCCTGTGTCGAGTCAGTGTCCTCATGTCGGGCCTTTTCATCAATTTTTAAAGAAAAAAATAAGTGTCCCTATATGTCGAATTGTCCGCAGGTCGAGGTGTCCGCATGTGGGGGTCTCACTGTATTTAAACAATTTCTCCTCTGAAAATGCCATCCCGAAATGAAGTTGATCATAGTGAAAAGTATATATAAAATTAAGGTCACCTAACCACGCGTGACAAAAAGAACAAGAATCTTTGCCTCGTTCATTTATTCCCAGCACAAGCCAAAATAAAAAAGCGTGATACCTTTTTTGGCTTATTAACCACTGAACCTTGAGATCAAATACATTTTGGCTAAAGTAGACAGAAATATTTTTCAAATTACAAAATTAGAAGCAATTTTAAATTCCACTTTCTATAGAGTCAAGCAGTTGGGAATTGCGTGAATATTCCGACGGGTTTGTGCTTGAATTATTCTTGCAAAAATTCATCTAGGTCAAAACTTAATTTCGCTCTTCTACTTGTTGGAAAGCATGACCTCATTCCTCCCTGCTATTAAACAAGCTTCAGCAATTTCACTCATTTTCTGCATCATCACGGAGCCTATTATTATGCGTAACAAAATATTCAGTAATGATTGATATTCGAATTTTTAGGAGTAACTTTCGAATCATTAGAGGTATTTTTAATCGATTCCCATTTCTAGAGTCACAAATTTCGAAGCAGCCTTTAATTTCAGAAAAATAAGGCAATAAAATAGTCAGTAGTGAGTTGCTGTGCTCGGCATTATACCAGCTATTAGCACCGGAAATGCGTAAAAGCGCCGGAAATGCGATCCTCGAACTGTATCTAATCAACAGGTTACAAATACAGTGCATCAGCATCCAAGAAGATCCGGTTAGCAACAGAAGAATATAGTGCTGTCTAGTGTCGTACATCGTCAGCCTTTAAGGCTAAAGGAAATTCAGCAAGATTCTCAGTAATTGATATTCTGTCGAACAATCTCCGCATTAAAAAAAATTCCTAAAAGCCACGATATAAGTGCTATATTCCTCTTATTTTTTCCAAAGCACAAAAACTAAAAGCTTCCGGCGGACGACGGCAAAATAAAGCGCTGCAGTAGAATAACACAAGAAAAAGGGCCCTGAGGCTATTAACAAGGATGTTAGCATATACGAACTGTTGTCAAATAAACATGTTTTTCCCAATGTTCATATTTATTGTACGAAAACATCAAAACTCTGACTATAAAAAATACGAGTTGTAAAACCTACAGACCACATGCTGCAGGTGGCCTGCAAAGGCGTTTAGTTTAATTTCTGCAGAAGAACCTCCGCCATTATACTGTACATTTAATTTGTTTGCAACTTCTTTGGATTTCAAACGTACACAAACGGCCAAAAAAAAAAAGACCACATAACATGTCAGTATAAAGCCTGTTGTGAGAAGAAGAACAGGTTGCATGCATCTGCTACTCATATTTTCATTCAAGTTAAATTACATCTTGTTCAGATTATGCTTGAACTTTGAATTTTTCCTATTGATGTAAACACCTGGCACTTCTGAGTGCGTAATTTAAACTGCTTTGGGAAATTATTTTGTTTACAAACAATCTCCATTTCGGAATATTCAGAGCACAATTTCCTTCTCCGAGAGAATCAGGATATTTGCCCCACGGTAAGCATTCAAAGAATCCTAGATACTACTGCATGTGTTAGGAATGGATTTGAAGAAGGTTCAAAATCTTTTGAGTTGGAAACTAGATTTGGAATAAATTAAATGATAAATCAGCCGGGCTGCAGCTGGGGTGCTTAAGGTTGGTATATTTAGCAAGGTTTGAGATTTTTGAAAACAGCAGATTGCATATCAACAAACAGCAGTCTTTTGCGTGAGACAAGCCCAGAACAACTGATGATAATTTGGAGAATCTATCCAGTATTTAAACCCTTTTTGTTTCGCAAAATTTGTCCCTGAGCAGAATTATCCTTTCAGCAAAATTTCCTCAAGAATTTGGATTCTTGTAGGATCTCAATGTCATACTCAGTCTCACGGGATTCTGGACTCATTCAAGTTTCCAATGTTTCAATGGCGCCAGTCTAATCTGTCTGAACACTTTGTCATTCCTATTTTGATTTCCAACTTCATGGACCAATCTTAACGGTATTTACATCCTTCCTACATCTAAAGTAATATTTTGCCTAAATCCAGCCAAGCAGTAAGGGAATGCATTTTACTGCACACTACACTATATGGAAACGCAATCCTATTCCATTGAAAATTTACAGTAAAATATTTTTACGACGAAGCTCCGTTGGAACCACGGAAAAAAGCTTCGTTACAAATAAAAATTCGTTATAAAGAGATTTTCATGAAATTATTGCTGTTGAATGGGCAGGAACCTGAAAAACAATTTTGTAGTAGCGAATACTGTACTGTAATTCGTTTTGATGAGTCTTCTCGTTTTAACGATGAGATTCTACTGTGCTTTTAAAAAGAATTCGGTGTTTGTGCGTCACCAGCGCACGTTGCATAGCTTTTATGGAATATTGCACCAGACAGCTCCCACTGGAGCCACCGCGGGTTAATTTTCTAAAAAGGAATCTATGTACAGTATTGTACAGCATATATATAATGCATGTGGTATATGTACAGTACTGTTCGTGGTTGGAAGCGTGAATCCCACAAGCTTGTATGCTGGATATATACTGTCCTTTATATGCCTTATCAGAATGCACAGTCCGTGACTGCATCACAAATCGATGCTCAGTCGCAGCGCATTCTCCTTATCCCGAAAACCCATTGATTTCTTCGGGACCCAACAGCCGCTTTTGCTGCAGCTGCATGCAGATGATGGGAAGCTATATATGGGATATTTCTGATTATCTGACTTGTGGCGCATCTGACCGAAAAATGATATTGAATCAATAAGCAAGGTGTGTTGCAGTGTTGAGTATGTTGACTAAGCTAAAAAAAAATTAAAAAGAGAGAGAGAGAATCTAAATATTACATGAATACAATAAAGTCAGAAAAGGATGATTCCAGCGAACAGCATTTTCCGAAAAAATCTTCGTCCTTATGCCCATGGAACTTTCCTGACAACGGTGACAACTGCAGAACTCACCCATTTATGCTGATTTTCCCCCTTTTGCAGTTTTTTTTTTGGACGCTGGTACTTTGTCAAGGATTTTCGGCCCATATTACGGGTACCAGCCGTGGTACGAGTGGCTATCTTGTGGGTACAACGCACTTTTTCCCAGCACTAAGGAGCTTTTCAGAAATTTTTACATTTTTTTTTACCAAAAAAAAAAAGAAATTTGTTTTCAACAAAATCAAGATGAATAAGATAAAGCAAAACTTTAGGGGTCAATCATAGTGTTATCCAAATTCACAAGAATCTAGAAAGATCGGTGAGTTTTAAACGAAGACTTAATATTACGTCTAATAA